CTATACAATATATTTGTTTCTGTTTATAGTTGAAAAAATGATATTGACTTGTTTTTTTTTTTTTTGAGTGATTTGTTTTATCTATTGTCCAAATTCATACTTCATAGCTGCTGCAAATTTGTATGTTGTAACGAGCCAGAAAACTTCTCTTTATGAGGTTTCAGTAGAATCTGGCAAAGATTTATTGTTCCAGGATTTTCAAGAAGCAATTAAATTGATTTTTTTGGCTAAATGACAAATATCCGAGAGAAGTAATAGAGTAGTCATGGATTAGCAATAGTAATCCAGGATTACATTTCCATCCTCGTCTCGCAACTACAAGTGGCAGCACCAGAAAATGTGCTTTGTTTGAAAAATGATATTGGTTTGTTCTTTGTTCTGAAGCGATGCTTTTGATGATTTTTTAATTTTCTATTAAATAAAGCATTTATTAATTGCTGTATTAAAATGCAATATAGAAGCTGGAGCGATAAAGTTAGGGTAAAGGATGCAGCTGAGAGGGAAAAAGGGGTACGGATGCAGCGGAGAGGGGACGGGGGACAGCCTAGGGAAGGTTGGAGAAAGTGTGCAGCCGACGGAGCGGAGCAGAGCTGGGCCTAGCGACAACTGAAGAGCGCAGCGGAAGCGCTACAGTGCGAGAGGGAAGGCGTGTTGTACAACTAACGAACAGCGTGCTGTACAGATAACTAGCCTATCTAGAATGTGTAGGTGCGACCTGCTACCAGATACAGGTTATAGCATGTTACTTGCAATCTGATGTTTTCATCTGTTTTTGCTGCCTGCTGCAGTGCTTTAGTGCTTTTGCACAGTAGAAACGCATAAAAATAATCTCGCAATTTTAATGTTTTGCTCATTATGCGTTTTTGATATACAAATTGCAAAAACGCATATTGCGACGATCCTGTCTGTGTATGCGTGTTTGCGTATGTTTGTGTGCGTGTGTGTGTGCGTGTGTGTGCGTGTGTGTATGGGTGTGCGTGTGTGCGTGTTGTGTGTGTTCGCCTGTCCGGGTATTTCAACACGGCAACCAAGCAAGTTCCAGCGCCAAGATTTTGCTAGTAGGTTCTCCGACCAAGTGCCACCCTAGAACCGCAGTACCAACCCTCATGCAAGTCCGGGCTCCGCGTATGAGAGGGCGGAAGTTTTGGCGGGAAAATTGATGACTTCAGAACGAGAAAAGATAGCTGAAATTTTGAGGATATGTTCCCCGTCCACATATAACTCAAAGATTTCAAAATCAGCCTCCAGGTATGCGCGGTTCTCACGTACGGCCCCGCAAAATTTTTTGGCGGGAAAGCGGCTAACTCGGGAATTAGCACAGCTGGAGGCTGGAATTTTCAAGGAATGTCCATAGCATAAGTACAACATAAACCTATCAAATTCAGCCTCCAGCGTGGTTCTCATGTACGGCCCCGTGAGATTTTTTAGCAGGAAAATGGCTAACTCGAGAACCAGCAAAGCTGACAAGCTGAAAATTTCAGGGAATGTTCCCAACCCATGTACGACTTAAAGTTATCAGATTCAGCCCCCAGCCATGCGTGGTTCTCACGCACGACTCCGTGAAACTTTTTGGCGGGATATTGTTAAATTGCTAAACCGTTGAACGGAAATTGTTTATTTCCTTTTATGCAAAATTTACGATGATTTACGGTGTTGAGCGCACGAGGTAGGTGTGAAGAAACTTCCGTTTATGCAGTTAACCTAATTCAAGTTTGATGCGAAAACGCATGCCAAAAAGATCAATTTAAGTGCTTCTTGAAAATCCTGGAACAATAAATCATTGCCAGATTTTACTGAAACTTCATAAAGAGAAGTTTTCTGGCTCGTCACAACATACAAATTTGCAGCAGCTATCAAGTATGCATTTGGACAATAGATAAAACAAATCGCTTAAAAAAAATCAATATCATTTTTTCAACTATAAACAGAAACAAATATATTGTATAGCTTTTATGTTATTTTCGTTTCCTCTTCTTCATGAACCATTAATACAACCCAGTCTTCTAACCCCCCCTCCCCCACCCTTCTCAATCTAACTTACCCATCCGCAAATTCTTTCGTTTCCTTCCCATTTTCTCAGTCAACAACTTTTTCTAGTTCGCCTGTGTGGCACCTTCTGGGTCTCCATCACCGGGAAGGAGGCACATTCCTTTACTTCCGGGACCCCCTCTCCCCCATCCCTCCCTGAAGCTAGTCGGAATCAATTAACGGTTTCTCCCATTCCGTCCCTTCCTCAAGCAGCAATGCAATTATTTAACCAACAACACCCTCTCCCCCCACACAAGACGAACCTCAGTTTCCATCTTTCTTCACTTCCCGCCCCCTCCCCCCCCACCCGCTCTCCAAAGAGAAAATCGCCCACCCGACAACGCACAACCAACCTAACACTCCCAACCACTATAAACGACCACTTCAAACCAACCTCCCCTCGCCACCAGAAGTCTCACTCTGCTACCGACCGTCAGCAGCAGAGGATGCGGTGAAACAACCGTCCCACCGCACGATGGGCGGTTGTTATCGCGAAACTCGAAGCTATATCTCCGCCCCACGCTGCTCGGCTGTTACACGAGCGATCGGGCTATGTTACACGAGAATTTTCTGGATGTTACTTGAAGTTGGTGAGACAGCGGCTCATCAATACAAGTAATCTACGGCAAATGTCCAACTACTGCTCCCAGAAACGGTCGTTACTTGTATAAGTTGGCAGGCAGCGTTAGGAAGTGTGCGTTACTTGAGCATTACACGAGCAACACTGGGTACTTACTTGTATTAGTTGCCGTTACACGAACTTCGTTGACATATTACCTGTAATCCGACCTTTTCGATTGTGACGACTCCGTGTATGTGTTTGGGTGTACGTGTGTGTGTTTTACTCGTTAACCTGGCCAGTTTTAGTGCTCAATTTTGCCAGTATGTTTCTTGGCCAATATTTTCAAGTGCGGCCCCAACAACATGTTATTGTACAGTGAAAAGACTGACATACAACCAAAAGATTTCACTTTAAAACTCAGCTTCTTAATAAGTCGCTCTGCAAAATACTGCTTTCTGTCCCGTTCGGATACAAGTTATTTAGGTGCCGGTGGTATTCACTTGCGGCACACGCGAAAGCCGGGCATGTTTCAAGACTCAAACTGTATTTTGGCGGCACATGGGCACAGAATATTCTCGTAAGGCTTCGGTGTCTTAGCATTCCTGGTTAGCAAAATCGTTTTTTCGCCAAATCTTTTACACACCTGTACGTAAGAAGTAAAAGTGTTTTTGTATGGTAAGGGACCTAATCGCAATGGCAGACCAACTTGCCAGAGTTTCAGTTTTACAGGTAATGTAGGTGTGGAGATCGTAATATGCGAATAAATGCACAAAAACACACAAAACAACTCCTCGACAATATGTGTTTATTGCGTGCATGGATACAAAAAAAGTACAAAAAGCGATATTTGCGCAGGTCGGGAGTAAAAAGAAGGACAGAATGCTAGTAGTACTTTTTCTTCTGGCGGAGAACGGATTGGGAAGGAGAGACAGGAGTATGATCCACATCCTTGTTTTAGAAACTGAGTACGTTCCTGTCTCAGTAAAGGACTACATTAACTTATCAACGTTTTGTATCATGATCCGGCTTCTTCGCTGCCCATACACAAAGTAGAGCAAACAGCTCAAACATTATCAGGGTACCTATAAAGCCCTGGCTTCTTAGTTCTTACCAGGAATTTCTAGCATTTATTGGCACGAACAAGGGTAAGGAATTAAAAAGATTGCAATAATATACTGTAAGGGATGTTTTGAAATGGATAATAAAAACATAGTCACTCGAGCAGTTCAACTGGTGCACTTTGCAACCACAATTTATGCAAAAAATTGTACAATTCGTCACTCACAGAAACCTGAAATTCAAACTCTGTAAGACAGAAAACAGGTAACAATAAAAAACTTCCTTGTGTTAAGCCGATCACATTATTCATTCATTTCATTATAGCTAAGCTGGTGAAGCAGTATAAATCAGAAATGCAGATATGGCCTAAAAGTTACTTCCCATTTATCATTCCATCTTCAGTAATGTTATGCTGATGTTTCCTCCCAAGACAAGCAGAAGTTCTTATGCAATACTCCTATGCTATTTGCAGTGCCATCTGCAGGCAGTGACCTTATGCGTTGCAAGAATAGCATTATCATTTGTGATAGTATTAGTTCCGCGGAGAAAGAATTCGTGATTAATATAATTCAAAATGAGCAACTGGTGTGTCAAGTGATGAAAGCGGTCACAGCAGTAAGTGAACGGACCTTATAAGGCGTTGGATTCAACAACCTTTTATGATCTTCCCGAAAATCTCTGAAAGATTCAGCAACATTTCGTTTCACTTCATGCAGTGTAGGCAGTCGCTAAAAAGTAAAAAAGATCAGGGCAGTGCATGTAAATACAAAATATCTGCAGCACAATGTGTCTAAAAAACAAAGAATACGCGCCTTTCTTTTTTCTTACCGCAACACTGTTCTGGACAGCTATCGCCTCACGGATAAATTCCTAATCAAACATTTAACCTGAATTCGAACAAAAAAGCTTCAACAAGGACACCACCTCACACAGTTCTCCATTTTCCCAATACTTCAGCTGTATTGCCTGGACTCTCTGAGCAACAACAAACGCTCGCTTGTTTTCCTGAAATTCAACAGATGCTGTTGAGAAATGATGTAAAAGCACGTCGCGATTTCAGCATGTTAAAATCGAAAGTGAAACTTTGCAGAATGGGTTTTTAAATGTGCTATGCTGGCAATGTAAGCAATAGACGTGTGTCACAAAAAGGCATCTGAAAACAAAAGAAAATTAGTACGGTCATGCGATATGGGTAAAAAGCGAATCAATAACAGTTCAAAGAATCAGCTCAAAATTCTGGCTCAAATCGATTCAGCAATTGTACAAGCATACTATAATTATGACAGCACGCAAAGTAAATACTGAGGAAGTGCAACCATGTAGAAGCATTATTTATCAATAAGTTACCAGCACTGTCAAAGCTTTGCTTCCTTCTTCTTTTACATACAATAAGAAAGTAAACCTGGAAAGGATGTCGACAAAGAATTGGCTGATTTTCTTTCGGCACCGGCTCCGTATCAAGAGTCATCAAATCACAAATGCAGAATCCACCTTTCCCATACAATCGATAACAATTTTTACGCCCCGGAATTTGTATTTTTGCAACGTCTTCAGTCAATTTAATTTTCGGCACACCTGATAAGGCAACCAGCTGTAAGGCTCGGCTCGTAACAAAAGCCTTCGTAGGCAGCAAATTTAGAAAAAAAAATGCTTTCAAATCAAAACTGTGCCTTGTTTGTATGATTTTTGTCTGGTGTTTCATGGCGCACAATGAAAAGTAGTTAAAAATGACTGCTATGGTTGGGTTAAGGGAGAAAGACAGAAACGCGATTTTTATCGGTTTTCAGATTTAAGCCCGAAAAGCAAATGTGTGCTACAAAATATTGTTTGAAATGGCTGAAAAGCAGGGCAGATACGCTGAAAACATATTGGTGAACTAGGAGGTAGCACATAGCGGCAGTTCAAAAGAATTATTAAATGGCAGTTTAATGCGGTACCTTATAAACACACCCAAGAGCAGGCTGCCTTTGACAGGTAACCAAATGAGTACCAATGCCAAATGCATCTACTTCGTGTTGTTGCTCATTCAACGAAATAATTGTATTCTCATTGATATCATTTGACGCAATTATCGATAACCTTGCGAACCACTCCAAACATGGGTCTCTTGAACATCGCAAAGCAAATCTATCTTATCAGTGCACTGTATTAAGTTTGGCACAACCTTGTCACCTTGTTCAACCGGCCCCAAAATGCTGCCAGTGATGAAAGCGAAAAAACGAATGATAACCCTAAAAAAGCAGTGACGCAGCACTCGAAGTAACTCGTCGTAGGCAAGCATTTCGCCATGCAAAGAGCGAGCAAGATATCATTCTAATTACCAAATAAAGTGAAATCACATGTCTTGAATGCATCCAAATCGCATGCCAAAAAGCGGTACTAGGGGCGTTAAGTAATATAGGGAGAGGTAGTTCACAACGAAAAGGCTAGCACAGAGACAATTTAACGCTCCAAAACAAGGGCACGAATGAAATTTGTAAATGAATGCATATTAGTACTAACAACGCTGCCACCATTCTGAATCTGCCACGAATTTCTTTCGACAAATAAGACAAGTCACCGCTGTCGATACGGCATCCTATTGCGCGATAGCCCAAATCATGAAGTGCTAGTGCCACTGCGCAAAAATTCGTTACACCAGACCTAAAATTCATGAGAAAAGCAAGTTTTATATGCAGAAAATACCGTTTCAAATGAAAGGAACTGAAGTAGTGAATGGCACCCGTTCCTTGGCTACGAGGAGTACACTATTTACCCTCTAATACTGTTTTGCTGAAATGACAGTTTACACATTTACTGCAACTTCATATTTTGATATGACAGCTCATAAGCCTATTTAAACAATTCAATAGATCAAACTGTACGGAACATTGAGTATGAGTAAAACTGAATGTTTGAGATAAAATGAGGAATTCTTCACCTGACAAAAGAAGCATTTATCTCCACAACAAACCTCTAACCAAATTTTAAAAACAAAAATTTTCGGGCAAAAGACTGACAGGACTCCAAATACCGCACAAAATTATTTTGCAAATTTATATACTTAATAAATTCAAGTTATTTAGCAACAAAGCTAAAGCCACCAATACGTAACAAAATTTACCGCAAAACATCATACGTATCGATGAGTGCGGCAAATGCTGTTGGAAAGGCAACAGCATACGCACAAAACGCACATAATTCACCCAGCGAACTTTTGCTTTTTGAAACGTTCCATGCAAACTATAATTGCAATAAATGATTTACACGGCATCTATCAAAAATTAGCGGCGCGCACCAGGGCAGCTGATAGGATCATGCGTTTTGTGCAGTTCTGTCCAGTGGGCATTTTCTGTTAAAAATGTTGGCTGCTTTACTGCTTGATCTGTGCCCTAAAAAAATCTGCTTGTTGTCTGTTTGATGTGTGCTTGAAATCGGCGGAGTGTTCTAACAGGATAAAATTTGCATTTGCCCGCGTGCGAGACTTAGGCGAATATGGAAGCTGAAAAGTACTCTCCCGAAACTTCAACTTTTACTCTTATGTGGTTCTGGGATTGGAAAATTTTCCGCCGAAAAATTCACACGCCCGCAGGTGGAACTCAGGCGTACACAAAAGCAAAATCTAAAACATTCGATGACACACACCGGCACGTAACACAGACTAACATTTCAGCTTCTTAACTTTTCTCGGCTTTTCTGTTTCATGAGTTAAAAAATCTTCCTGTCAAACTTTCACGTGAGCGTATGTGAATTAGATATGTGCAGAAGCTGAGCCTGAAATGTATGGATGGCATGTGGATGCGAAAAAATGCCCTAAAATTTCAACCCCATGGCTTTAATTCCAAAGTTAGCATCTTCACGAGAAAACATTCACGTACCCGCACGTAAGGCCCAAACGTATATGGAAGCTAAGCTTGGATTTTTTGAAGTCGCAACGGATATGTAATAGCGTTTTGAAATTTTAGTCTCCCGGCTTTTCTGGCCCCACAGTTAACAAAGTTTCCCCGTCAAAACATTCGCGTGATCACATGCGAGCCCAGACGTACGTGAAGGCTGAATTTGGAACATCTGATTTACGCGAGGACATAGACCATCATGCCAAAACTTCAACTTTCCGGTTTTTTGGTTTTTAAATTGCAAACTCAGAGCAACACACACATAAATATATGCACAAACGCGGACAAACACACGTTCACACACACACACACACGAACAGAGTCGTGACAATATGCGTCTTTGTGCGTTTTGCACTGGGCAATAGCAGCAAAAAACTCATGTCACAGGGTTGTCTGTGTGTGTACGTTTGTCCGAGATTTTGCCTCGCAGTTTCAACTCGGGAACCAAAAAAGCTAGGCGGCTGAAATTTTAGTACAGAACCATGGGAGCTGTTGCTCGCAAATGTGCAACCTCGCAAATTTAAATTCAGCCTTTCCGTACCAGCGAGTAACACGTATGACCCCGTGAAATTTTTGGCAGGGAAAATTATTATCTCGGGAACCACGGAAGCTAGGGAGCTGAAATTTTACGGGCATGTCCCCTACCTGCGTGCGACCCAGAAAATTTAAATTCAGTTTTCCTGTGCGCTTAGGTATTACTTACGGCCTCGCGAAAATTCTGGCAGGAAAATTATCCCGAGTACCATGAAAGCTAGGAAGCGGAAATTTAGCAGAAGTGTTTTCTTCCCACGTGCAACCACGTCATAAGCAGATCCAGGGCGCATTCCTGTGGAGTGGGGGGAAGGGGAGGGCCCAAGGGGTGGGGAGAAGTGAGGCTTTTGACGGGGATGGAGGAGGACAGTCCCGTGGCAGAGGACGGCAGAAGGTGGAGAGGGGGGAGCCCCTCCCTCCCTGGGACTATGCAAAAATTAGGAATAGAGTTGTAACACTGCTATTTATAGTTACTTTAGTTTTATTTATGAACAGACTCGGGCTTTTGGAGCACTGGTGTCTGTGCTGCTGGGGAAGAGGGGGGAGGGGGCAAAAGACCCTTCGCCCCCCCCC